ATCTTGTCGCAATTTGAATAAAAAATATCATTTTGATTATGAAGTCAATAGATGAGTTGTGGAGCACATGATGTTTTCACCGCTGAACAAGTAATTCCATTCTCACTCAGGCAGTCTTAAATCAAGATGAAAATCAATAAGCCTCGATTGGTTTATCAAATCCGTCATATATTAAAATATGGTAAATAAGCTCCTTGTCAGGACGCGCCCGATCATACAAAACCCTAATGAAAGTGTTCCGTGCGCAGCGTCTTTTTCCTCTATAGCTTTGTGTTAGCTTATCTATTTTCGCGAGTCTTTCCAAACATTGTAAAATCTGCCAGAGATTTCTGAGCATAGTCGAGAGTCATATATTTATATCAAATGGCAGGCGTTTTAATAGTCATCATTAGCCCTGGAGCTGACTTCTGGGCTTCACAGAGAGGAGAAGGAACATCAAAGTGGCAAAAAGTCAAGAGGGGGGAACAGAAGAGTGTTTCAAAGATGTAAAAGAGACAGACAGACAGACACAAAGGCATAAAAATATAAGATGAGTACTGTGAAAGGGGTCGAATATGACAAATAGTCGGGCCGCAGTAGTTTGAAATCAGAAGTCAACTGCCGATCAATAGACTTTTTTGCCGTGTAAGTGCACCACGGGGAGGTAAGTCTATTACGCACCCCAGTCGAGAGTCATTGGTTCATTTAAAACTTATCTATTATAACTAACTAAAACCCAAAAATAATTAATAACTTTGATTATATTAATAATTTCAATTTTTTCATTTGTTTAAAAATTATGTTTCCATCTGTTAATTCTAGTCAAGTTGGATTTAGCAATTTGAGTATTAACTTTGTACTATTAATTTTTCAGTAGAATTTTTACTATGTTATGTGAAATTTTGTTTTCATACAACTATATTTAACAAATTACTTCAGCCAATTTTTATGGTAATATGAAAATATATTTTTGAGTTTCAAACACTGCAATGGACGATTTACAAAAGAACCCCCATAAGTATAAATTAAAAGGAAAGCACGTGAATAATTCTCTCTTTCTGTATTTTAAGAATGACAAATTGCCTCAGACTGTATTTTCTAATCCTTGGTCTCAAATGAAACTTTTAATAAGCGCAAAAATGTAGAGATTATTTCTATGAAAATCGTCAGTTGTAAAAATCGATTTACTTAAAACGTTAAATTTAAGTTTATTTTAAAAATTTTTCCATATCAAAAATGTTACCATTGGATAAAACAAAGGCGAGACACATTATTCTGGGCACTTCGGATAAAAAATAAAACTAACAAGTTTCTCCCCCAACAGTAATAGCCTTAAACTTATCTGTGGTGCAGAATGCATAGTGTGACCTTACGACATCGGCTTGAATCATCTTAATTGATTATCCTGGCTTTTTCGCAATGTGGCTAGACCGACCAATTTCTGTGGCCAAAACACGACAGACACAAATTAATTACTCTCTCGCTCAATCTCTCCATCTATCTCTCTCTCTCTCTCTCTGTCCAAAACCGCAGTTATTTCCCCCAAAATATAGTGTAATTAGGGGTATGTAGGGAGGGGAGAGGGGAGATGTTGCAGATAGTAAGATTAAATTACACAGTTAACGCCGCTGATAAAATCTCCATTTTAGCAGTAAAACTAGGAAATCTCGATTTAAAAATGTCAATATGTCCATCGATGTCGTATTGCTGTGGCGTAAATTATTTGCCATAGGGCATATATGTTAATTTTTTTAAAAAACACTAAACCCATTTACTCTCCAGATTCTACTAAATATTTGTAAATGTACAAACCCTCGAAAGTAGAAACAATAGATGTAATATTTAGAATAAGCAGTCTGATCAAACGCAATGTCAAGTAATGTTCATGAGAGTAATAGATGAAAGTGAGACATCAAGATAATTCCATGATGCTGTAAAGGCGTCAAAATGGGCACCTTTCCTTAAACAGAACAACAAATATTTTCTTGTTTAACCCAAAAGCCTTAAAGTGTCAAGGGGTAAATAATAGGTTATCTATCTAATCTTTACTGTACTGGGGTGTGTAATAGACTTACCTCCACGTGGAGCACCACAACAAAAAAGTCTAAAAAACGGTAGTTGACTTCTAACTTCAATTTACCATGACCCCACGGTCTGTCATATTCTACCACTTTCCCAGTACTTACCTTACCTTTTTCCCCTCCTTTGTGTCTGTCACTTTTACATCTGTGAATTACTCTTTTGTTCGCCCTATCGACTTTTCCGATCTGAATATTCCTCCCCTCTATGAAACCCGAAGTCAATTAAAGAGCTACTGATTAATATCATAAAGTTTGCTATTTGATATTAATAAATGTTTACACTTCTAACCGAAATGTTCACATACCTTTATTTTCATATTTTCGCTGTTGTAATATGGTGCTAAATGTTATATCTCGATTAATTTCTGCATTATTTCACCCATTTCTATTCACATCATCATAACCAGGTGTTAGTCTTTGTCTCTTCTCATTTAGAGTGTATGAGAATTTTGCTAGGAATATCTGTCACATACACACTATTGAGAAATTTATTCTATGCCTTAAGAAATCCATTTTCTTGGGTGCTCACAATTAAGCTAATTCATGCAACATTTATTTATTTATATCAAATGGCAGGCATCTTGATAGTTATCATTAGCCCTTGAATTGACTTCAGGCTTCATAGAGGGGAAGGAACCTCAAAGCGAAAAAAATCGAGAGGGGGGTGGAACAGAAAAGTGTTTCCAAGATGTAAAAGAGACAGACACAAAGGTAGAAAAATGTGAGGTGGGTACTGTGGGAATAGTCGAATATGGCATAGAATGAGGTGATGGCAGTTTGAAGTGAGAAATCAACTGCCAGTTAAGAGACGTTTTTGCGTATGAGTATACGTTGCCCAGGGTGCACCACGTGGAGGTAAGTCTTTCGCACACCCCAATTCATGAAACATAAAGGCTGGTTTTTATTGTTTTTCGTAGTTAATTCAGTGAATATAACTTGTATGGGGGCAGCAATGGAAGAAATTACCCAAATAACTTTGCTCTCTTGCAGCAAAAAATGCTTTCGTTGTGTTCACTTGAAAAAAAATAATTTAAAAAAATTATCCCAAATTGTGTTAATAGATTGCAAATTCAAATGAGTCAATTATATTTACATTGATAATGTAAATCATTTCAAGGTTTATAAGAGTTATCAATCGGACCCAGTGTATCTAATATCTAGCGACAGCAATTCATCGTCACTATCGGTTGGAAGTAGTGAATCATCCCTGTCGGCAAGTGGATTCTCCAAAATGAAGGCCTCATTATTTCTCCATTCATTACTATTACTTGCTCTAGGATGGTATTTGTATCCACAGCGACGCGATTTAGTGGGAGGGATTCGCAACACTTTCCGGAATGGATAATTCAATTTGGCAGTTTGTGAGTAGACCAGTAGTCTATAAGGCCAGGAGAGGAGTAAAATTGTTGCAATTATGAAGACTGTTTGTGTAAATAGAGGCGACCGCCGTTGCAATACTAACACCGACGGTCGAAGTTCCAATTCGTTGTAAAGTTGGAATCCTGAAAGTGGAAATAAGTAGTGATAGAAAACAAGAAAACCGAAATAGCAATGTCTATAACACAAAAGGCATTTTATATACTCATATCTCACGTCCTGTCGTACAAATAGCAACTCAAGTCGATGATAAATTCCAATTCAGTCGGTCACTTTCTCATAAAACAGCATTGCTTCCATCCTGTTTATTGTGCATTTTCAAGAAATTTCATTGAATCATTAACCTTTGGATTCTTGAACTTTTTAGAGTCTAGCTAAATATTCAAGATTTTAAAGTTAAATCACACAATTTATTTATTTCAAGTCATAAAACTTGGGGTGGGCGATAGACTTACCTCAACGTGGTGCACCCTGGGCAACGTATACTCAACGCAAAAAAAGTCTATTAACCAGCAGTTGACTACTGACTTCAAACTACCACGACCCCCCCGGTTGTCATATTCGACCCCTTCCACAGTAATCTCTTTAACTTTTTCTCTACCTTTGTGTCTGTTTGCCTCTTTTACATC